TGTGTGTGTGTGTGTGTGTGTGTGTGTGTGCGCGCAGTGCGCGGAGCAGCTGCGAGCATAGATCTACACCACATAGATCTACCCAAGACTGTGGGAAAAAAACCAAAGTGGCATTTAAAGGCTCGTAATTGTATATACAATGATGTTTCCCATCAACAGAGATGTTTAAGAACAGTCATTAAGTTAGCTTGCATAACTTTAATCACTTATTCAGATCTTAGTTTGTGTTTCATTACAGTATTTTATTCCACTGTACAGTATTTATTTTTTACATTATGTTTTTAGTTTATCTTGTTCCCTGGTGTTCACATTTTTTCCACTGAGGGCCACATACAGAAAAATATATGAAGGGCTGGGCCACCAAGTTAGCAAACTCAAATGTAGGTCAAATGTAGGTTTAATTAATTGTGTTATATAAAAGTGTTGGCAGCTCATCCCTTAAAACAGAAGCCTCAGATTGCTTGTAATAAGGGAGAATATATATTTCAAGCTTGATATGCAAATAAGTTATTGGGCTTTTTTTTATCGACTTAGATTTGTTTAAAAATGTTTTCACCTTTAATTTACTGAATATTAGGCTTATTAACACATGAATACTGTGTACAATATACAACATAAGACAAGCACAAGTTTCAGGTGTGGGCCATATTCCATTATACTTTTAGAATCTGCTGCGGGCCAATAAAAAATGGACCACAGGCCACAGTTGCCCCCCCCCCCCGTGCCGTAGTTCGGACACCCCTGATTATCATATATTTTACTGCCTACGCATTTACTTACACACATGAGTCACTGTTCAGTTTTTCTTGCACCATTTTTTTAATATATGTTGCATTGTTGAAGGACCCGGGGACTTAAGATTTTCATCGCCATAACTACACTACTGTGCATATGACAATAAAGCCTTTGAATCCTCCTTTGAATATGCTTTTAATGTGAGACATGATTTCGAAAAAGGACATAATTAAACATAATTATTGTAAGAACACACTTTAAAAAAACAAATAAATAAATAAAGGGAAAATACAATGAATAATCAAAACATCATAGTAACATCATATTTACTGTAGAAAAAGGGATCACACACACAGAAAAAAAATGCATGTATGCACAATAAAAAAAAAAAGCTATGTCAAAATAAGTAGAAAAAAGGTTTATTGCATCACATCATTTCAGGGATTGATGAATGAAATTGAAGTTTCTGATCTGACGGCATCACATCGTCAACTTCAAAGTCTGTAAAACGTTTTATTATATAAGAATTTACAATATTTCAGGGATTAAATACTGATAAAAGAATGTATTTAAGTGTTGTATACATATATCTGTATTTAATTGTTGTATATGTCTATTTATTGCTTAATATCTATATATTTTTTAGGTTATAAAACAGCAAAGTCAGCCTGCAGGGGCTATCTACCTGTTCTGTTTCTGTGTGTGGGTAATCTATTGGAGGCGGGTTTTACCAGCTGGACTGATCTTCTACAGACCAATGAGAAGCTGTTTTGCCTACAACCAGCCAATAGTAATGTGGCTGTGTTTGCTGCCAGCCAATGAGCTGCTTCTGCTGTACGTCAGCCGTCAGAGCCGCCGTCATGATTGTTGTTTTGTCTTCATTTTACGGGAAGTGAGAGTGGCGGGGAAATCCGAGGTGACGTCAGCCAAACGCAACTGATCGGCTGAGCTCAGACTGACAGGAGAGCCGTCCAATCAGATGGCCGGATAGACGAAAGGGGGCGGGACGGAGTGCGTTTTCTATTTATAGCCTGTGGTTATTACACAGCATTTCATCATGACCGATACATTATTTACAAAGTTACATTTAAAAAGTCATTAAAAAGGAAATGCAATAAAACGAACCATTATATATTTAATGTATGTGATTATGTGATTTTAAAACAGTGAAATAAATAATGAATTTTTGTATAAGCCTGTATATTTAATTGGTTTTATTATTGATGCATTTATGTGTACACAATATTAATGTTGTGGCTGATAGAGGTGATGCTAATCCTAATTACTTTATATTTTCAGTATAATCTGCAACAATGCATCATATTTTATAAACTCAACATATTGTTATTTTTCTAAATTATTGATCTGAAAAGTAATTTAAGATGCGATGTAGACGTATAAAGTAGTATTAACAATACATTAACAAATATTTGAGTAAAAGGACCTCAAAGTTGTATAATACTCAGTACTTGAGTAATAGAGGCTTTTTATTTACTTTCTGTGATTTATGAACATGTATTTATGAGCCCGCTGTGCTCTGATTGGTCAGCTCGCCCTCTCTGTTCTGATGAGTCCACCACCGTTACAGCTGAACATCAGTGATTATGTTTTACAATGGCGTTTGTTAGCAACCAGAAAATGACACCATGCAATGACAAAACGATGAGAATGCTGCGTGGGGTCTGGGAGCCGTGTTGGCGGGACGTTGCGGGGCTCGCTGCTGTGAGGAGCGGACAGTGTGAGGTGGATTACTGGTGTTGTTTCCTGGTTGCTGCGTGGGGTGTGTGTGTGTGTGTGTGTGTGTGTGTGTGTGTGTGTGTGTGTGTGTGTGTGTGTGTGCTCGGACCGGCCCCGAGCTGCAGCTGAGAAAAATAAGGCTGGCTGATTAAGTGTTTGTCATGGATGTTTAAAGTTTAACTTCTTCATATTTGTCAAAAACCCCACACATTTGGTTAAGCCAATTGCTTGTGGGGTTCAATAACACATCAACACAACATGTTAATTGTATGGGCTGGGCATCGAAACACAGACCTTTACTTCTAATTCCAATCAAGCAATCCACAGCTTCCTCATGTGGCCAAAGCATAAAGGCCCTGACACACCAAGCAGTCACCAGAGGACTCGCCGACGTCGGCTGTTGCGTCGCGGTGTTCTCCTGCGTCTTGGCCATGTGTCGCACGGGAACACACCGCAAAGACTTCAGTGCGTGAGTGGCAATAACTCTCCTTACCAGCAGGCGGCGGTAGTGTGTATTCGTCATTAAAAATAGGCAACAACCGGAAGACAGAGAAGAAGAACAGACTGCGTGATATAAACAACAACAAATAGTGTGTGCAAACTGCAGCCTGGTTATGATCCACTGCTGTCTGCCCGTCTTTGGTGCGCCACAACTACCCGAAGGGGCAAGTCTCCTGTACCGGGTGTACTGGGTTCGCAGAGAATCCAACTTCTTCCTCAGCTCTTTCTCTGAAGCACACAAATAAACGATGTAACCATTGTGGCTAGTTAGCATGTCCAATTCATATCTATATGCAGTGCCAAACTGCCCAGCTAGCAACAAGATAACAACAAAACCAGTGCTGGAATTGGGCCGGTACTCACCGGTACGCAGTACCGGCACTTCTGGTTCTGACCCATGGAGTACCGGCACTTCTTGCTCAGTACCGGCATGCTGGCGGTACTCCGGTACTCATGCACCGTGCCAGTACTCAACACTCTCCCGCCGTTCTTATTATACATCCATATATATATATATACAGCCGCCCGGTACTCAGTAGATGCGTCATGAGGTGCCGAACCGCTTGAGTTTCACAGCGGCTGTCAGCTGTTTACTCCTGTCATTCAAACAGAACGTGCTGGAGAGGGGGCGGGGCTTATCTTCTCCATGTAAATACTGTGGTGGAAACGACTATGTCAAAATTAACCCATTTGACCGTGATTTAATAGTAATACACGTTTTAAAATAATAATAATAATAATGCCGAAGTAACAACATACTGAAAACTGTTAGTAAAACCATGTTTTAATGCTTTACAATTGACATACCTAGATGCACGTGTGTTGTGTTTATGCAGTGCAACTCCCACCCAGTGGGTGGCTATGTAGAGTGATAGAACAGAGCAGGCACGCCCCCGAGAGAAGGAAAGCAAGTCACGTCACAAATTAGCATTTCTAAAATGTTAGCGTGGATTAATAAAAGTGCAAAAAGACAGCGGTTGTCGCCGGAAGAAACTTCAAATACAGAGAATGCTGTGCCTGTGTTGGAAATTGTGTCTGATGGGGAGCTTTCTTTGGTTGATCCTCCTGCTCCAAGTTCTAGTGCATTAGCATTAGCACTAGCTCCGCCGCCTCCTCCAGAGCCTCTAATGTTAGCTGCTGCTGGCGCAACTGCCACCACCAACACCGGGCAAAGCGATGCACCTGACTGCTGTACAACGGACCAGGTGCAATATTTTTGCAAGACCAATGCATGGCTCCTTCTTAAAGATAAGAAGCTAGGATGTCGGATATGCAGAGATGTCAAATCTTTGGGAATACACACTGGACAAGGACTGAAACTGTCAACTGAATGGGGTGAGTGTGCAGTGTCTCATTTCGGTGTTGACAAGGGCAAACAACAAGCTAGCCTGAGAAAAAAAATCAAAGAACATAAAGAATCACAAGCCCATGTAAAAGCTGCTGACATCCTTACATCTGCTTCACGTGAAACTATTCAACATCAAGTGCAGTCTATGCATAAATCTGAATTAGACACCACTATCAGAGTTTTTCGAACGGCATATAAAATTGGCAAACATAGCCGGCCATTCACAGACATGCCAATTGATTTGAATGTACAGAAACTGAATGGGCTGAACGTGGGCAGGGTTTTGCACTCCAATAAAACCTGTGGCGAAATCATCGACCACATAGCTCATGAGCTGAAGAAAAAAATGGCAAAAGACATTACAGAAAACCAAAGAAAACTCTGTGTTTTGGTCGATGAATCTACCACTATTAGTGGTTAAAACGGTGCTTGTTGTGTGTCTACGCTCAGCATTAGCTGATGCTGAGCCCGAAACGTTTTTTTGGGAGCTGATCGAGTTGGATGGAACAACGGCTGATGACATCACAAAGGCGTTAATGGAGTGTCTTGGAAGAGATTTTAACGAGGACTTTTTAGGTCAGTGTTTCGTTTCTTTTGCATGTGATGGGGCTTCAGTCATGCTAGGGAAGAGAACAGGCGTTGCTACCCAGTTGTGTAGTAAATTCCCAAGCCTGTTTGT